CAGAGCCTCAAGCTGTCCCCCTGGGTAGAGTGCGGTGGCATCACAGCTCACAGCAACCTCCAACTCCTGGGCTCAAGCGAGTCTCCTGCCTCAGCCTCCCAAGTAGCTGGGACCACAGGCGCCTGCCACAACACCCGGCCATTCCTTGGTTGCAGCCATCATTGTTGTCTGGCGGGCCCAGGCTGGCTTCAAACCCACCACCTTAGGTGTATATGACTGGCGCCCCAGCCACTTGAGCCACAGGCGCTGAGCCGATCCTTTTGTTTTCAGTTTCATTTAATTCTGCCCTAATTTTGGTTATTTCTTTTCTTCTGCTGGATTTGGGGTTGGAATGTTCTTCTTTTTCCAGTTGCTTGAGATGATCCATTAAGTTGTTGGCTCCCTTTTTTTCTGTTTTCTTGATGAAGGCTTCCAATGCTATAAATTTCCCTTTTAGAACTGCCTTTGCAGTATCCCACAGGTTTTGATAATTTGTGTCTTTGAGTTTCACTATGTCACCCTCAGTAGAGTGCCATGGCATCATAGCTCACAGCAACCTCCCACTCTTGGGCTTAATTGATTGTCTTGCCTCAGCCTCCCAAGTAGTTCGGACTATAAGCACCTGCCACAGCACCTGGCTATTTTTTGGTTGTAATTGTCATTGTTTGGCAGGCCCGGGCTGGGTTTGAACCTGCCAGCTCCAGTGTATGTGGCTGGTGCCCTAGCCAGTGAGCTACAGGCACCGAGCCAGTAAAGACATTTTTTAAAGTTAAAGATCAAGGTTAAGGGTACTTGTTTTATGGAGGCTTAGTATACCAGTAATGATCTTACACTGTAGTAAATAACTGCGGTATAGCATTGTATAGTGATGGATATAGTATAGTATAGCATTGTATAGTATAGCATTGTATAGTATATATAGCATTGTATAGTGATAGATTAATGAAATAGAATTAAGAGCTCAGAAATGGAGCCTCACATAGCAAAGGGTTTGTTTATCAAAGCATTTCTCTTTTCTCCTGGGTGCAAACTAAACTATATTTCCCAGCTTCCTTCATGGCCCATGTGACTGAGTTCTAACCAGTAGACTGAAACAAGTGATACCCGCTATTCCCAGACATGGCCCATAAAATCCTCCCATGAATAATTCCTTTTACCTCCGTCTGCCTGCTGAATATTTGGGTCTCCTGAGAACCCTAAAGTAGGGCAAATGCATAAGATGGAAGGAGTCTGGGTCCCCATTCTACCTGGATGAGAGCTTCCCAAGACAGCAGAGGATCTGTATTAGATGGTGCATGATCAAAAGCCAACTTGTGTTAAGTTATGGAAATTCGAGGTTGTTTGTTGATCTACCCTAATAAATCATGCCTGAATGGAATCTTGGCAAACATGGAGGGGCATGAATTATTGGAGATAAGTTAGACTAATATGAGGTCTGGGACAGTTGACTGTTTACGTAAAATATAACAAAGTCAAACCCTACCGCAAGCTCCATTCCAGGTGGATTCATGATCTAAATATGGGAAACAAAACTTTAAACTTTTAGAAGAGTATGTAGGAGAACATCTGTATGATATGAAGATAAGGGATGAAAGTCTAAGACACAAAACACAGATCAAAAGAAAAAGGCTGATAAAAATTATCTGGAAAGTTTTTCCAAAATGAAAAACTTCTGAAGAAAGGCAGCATAAATGTGAACAAAAGCCAAGCACTGGGAGAATATTTGAAATGCACACCCAATAAAGGATCAAAATCCAGAATATTCAAAGAATGAAGACATAATATCTTAGTAGAAAAAAATGAGCAAACTTATGAATAGGTACCTTATAGAAAGAAAAGCTTGAATAGCCAATAATGATATAAAAAAAAAATCTCAATCCCACCACTTGTCAGAGAGTTAAAAATTAAAACCACTTAATGCCATGTCCGACTGGTTGGCAAAATTAAAGTCTGGGAATGCTACATTCACCACCTGTGGTTAGTGTGAATTGCAACAAGCAATCTGGAAAGCAGTTTTGCATACCTAGGAAAGTTGAACAAGCTTCCTTCTGTCTCTGCAGTTTCACTGGCAATGGAATTGATGATGTTTTGTACTTCTTAAGCTTGGTGGTCCTTTGGTAATATTCTCACCTTTTCCCCATGTCTGTGTTTATCAGATATTTTAAAAACAATCGTACTATAAAGGTCTTATCAAATTTACCTCATTCCCTTCCGTTCTTCTCACTTAGAGAACCCCATCTGATATTAATCTTTGAATATTTTCCAAGTTCCTATGAAAAACTGGTTTGTTGTAATGACGAGTCACAGAATTTAAATTTAGAGTGTATGTTAATAACTAACACATAAGAGCATGTGCTCTACCAGACTCTAAATGTTTTCTTGTGCTAACTCTTGCATCAATTTTTGAAAAATTCCCAGGTATCAACTCTTTTAATTCTCACATCAGCTTTTTGAGGTAGATTTCATTATCTCCTCTTACGAATGAAGCAACTGAGGTACAGACAGGTGCGAGGTAGGGGAGGTAGTATTCACACAGAGGCTGTCTGGCTCCCAGATCTGCACCACTTACCACCTTGCTGATGTTTCTCCTGCACCATGTGAGGCCAAGTGAAAGGGAAGATAAATAGCCCGAGTCATGCAGACCAGAGTTGATTGGGATTGGTTGAAAATGAGATGTCTGACTTAGCCATGTGAACCACTTCCACTGGCTGAATTTTGCAGAACATTTTTCTGGCTCCCACAAGCAGTTTATTTATTTCTAGTTGTTTTCTTCCTCTTACCAAGCAATGGTATGATGTTGTCGGCATTGTTGTGAAGTACTTGGAGTATTTATAGACTTCAACAGCCATTTCCAAAGTGGGAGCACTTTTCATTTACCGAATAATGCATTTTTAATTACTGGCCAACTTAAGCTGGCTTTCAAAGAATAGAACTGTTTATTGCCAGCTGTATCTCACAATCATAGATAAGTATAGAGTTTTATATTATCATTTTTTTAACTCGAGCCCTCTTTCAGAGGGGAGTACAGAGCTTCCCTGACACTTGTACTTCAAACAGATGAATTGCTTCCCAGCCTGGAAAGCAGCCAACTCTCAGAATTGACATGTTCACTGAATAGTAAATTACATGTGAGGGAATCATGCCAAATGCAAGAGGTTTTGATAAAAGGGCATTTGAACTCTCTAAGTGATACAAAATATTTCTCTGCTTAAGAAATTTTAATAAATTGTTAAATAAAAGAGTCGGTGTGAAAGGTTTTATGCTTGATTCAGCTTCTGCTACACGTTTCAGTGAATAGATTATTCTGGCAGTGTGTCAGCAGTAGGCGAGACATTAGATAAATACATGTGAAATATTTCTAGTGGCTGAGCTGTTCTCCTCTCCCCCGCCATCTGAAATCTCCCACAAACCTTTAGAAATTCTTTGAATTCTAGCTCTGGATTGGTGAGTCCACTGGATAATTCACAAACTAAGACTCACCATTTTGCAAGCTCATGGTGCTGCTTTTCCTGACTGGATTTGGATCAAAGATGCTTTTTTATCTGCATACTTTTTTTAATCTGACTCCCAGGACACAGAGCAGACTTTTCTGTGGAACTTCAATGCATTCACTCTGTTTGCATAGGTCGAATGCATTCTCTCAGCCCTAGCTCAAACTACTAAAACACCTTGCGCAGCACCTTAAAAGAACTATAACTCATAGGTTCTGTGTTAAGAAATAGCACATTCTTCATTTTTTTTCCTTCCTAATTAAGCTTTTCTTTAGAAACAACAGAAATCTCCACAACTTAAACAGATTTTCATTAGTTCAGAGGGAGAAAAGCAACAATCTCTTATTCTAATGGTTGAATAAAATGTCTGGATGTTTTGAACACTGAAGCCATTTTAATAATGACTATCATTTTATGCAAGCCCTATCTAAATAGAATATTATGACTATCCTTTTAAAAGGATGAAAACAAAAAAAAATCAATCTTCTATTAAAATGCTATATACTTCTTCTAGCTGTCATTGCTTGTTTTTCACGGCAGATGGTCATGTTCCTACGTCTGGACAGTTTTATTCCAAACAAGTGGTAATCTCAGTGTATTCCAACTCTTTAAATTAATAGGTTAGGCCTCGCAGCTGTACTCAAAGGTATATTTAGAAAATTTATACTTTAACAGAGACTAGATGGTGGTACCATTGTCTTTATGAGATTGCAAATGTATAAACCACAAAAGGTTTGGAAAGATTTGAGGTAAGCAACTTTGCATATTTAAATCTGACCCAAACATAATCCCAGTCTGCCAGGTCTGTGGTGTCAAAGTGGTGGGTTAGACCAAGCTGTTCTATAGACAAAGAGACTATTTCTAAATTGACTAGTAAACTGCAATTATCAATAAATGTCTTCTGCTTTCAGCTAGGCTCGAATTTGGGGTCCTCCCAGTTTGATACGGGCATGAGCTTCAAAGGAATTCTCTTTCTCCATCTCCCACCCCCACCCCTCACCCCACCTTCAAGCCTCAGGATAGGATGAATGAGTTGGGATTTCGAGGAGCTCTGAATGAACTTCCTGGGCTCAGGGTACACGTGTACATTCTTATTTTTCTCCTGAGTCACTCACATTATATGTGACATATTCAAATAAACACTAATTCTTCTTCCGAGTCACTCACATTTTATGTGGCAAAGCCAAATAAATGCTCCTGATATACACAGGCATTTGCAGGTAAACATAGGCAAACTGTGTGTGTGTGAGTGCATGTGTGTGTAAAATTTTAGAGGAGCAAGGCTGCTCTTGGCTTTTGTGGAGCCCCTTTTAATGCAGGGGATTTGTGTGGCACACATTTGTGCAGCGATTATAAGGAGTCCTTTTCTACATACAGTTCCAGAGAGAAACTTTTCAAGGTCACTTACTGAGAATTAGGTCAAGTTCTAAAGCAGATGATGGCATTAAAATTGGTTGGCAAGTGCAAATGGCAAGACCATCCATCCATTTTTCATGAAGTTATAATTAACACACTCTCTGCCTCCCACAGGTTCAACCTTCGGGAATGAAGAACAGCCGGTTCTGAAGGCAGCACTGCCTTCTAAAGACACACCCAAGGGAGCTGGCCGTGCAGCCCCACTGGCATCCTCTAGTGTGACAGCGCCCCGGAGGAGTTTACTTCCAGCACCAAAATCCACTTCCACACCTGCCGGTAAGACTTTCTGCCTTGGAGAGACTCAATGTGGAGTGCCGTTTCTGCATTAATGAAAAGTCCTTTGAAAGTCTCTGTGTACATCAGTTATTTAGATGGAATGATGAGTTTTTTTTTTTATTTTTGTTTTCAGTATCAGTGAAGATTTCCTTCTTTCCTTCCCTCCCTCCCTCCCTCCCTCAGTCCCTCCCTTCTTTCTTTCTTTCATGTAAGAGTACATATAATTAGGTTACAATGTGTTAGGAACAGTCCAAGTTGTATTTGAGTCCTTCACCCAGAAGGTGTGCCATATACCCCTACATTGTACCCCTTAGGTGGGAGCTTACTGATCTCCTTGCCTCCCTTCTCCCATTCCTCCTGCTCCCCTCTTGAATTTAATTTGTTTGGGGGGGGCTTATAGTTATTCATCTACTAGTTTTAAATTAGTATTGAGTACATTAGATGCTTGCTTTTCCATTCTTGAGACACTTTTATTAGGGAGAATGTTCTTCAGCTCCATCCAGGTAAATACAAAAGATACAAAGTCTCCATCATTTTATGGCTACATAGTATTCCATGGTATACATACACCACAGTTAATCCATTCATGGGTTGATGAGCACTTGACTCATTTCCACATCTTTGCATTTGTGAATTGAGCTACTATAAAGATTTGAACTCAAATGTCCTTATGGTAAAATGATTTTTTTTCTTCTAGATAGATACCTAGAATGGTATTGAGGATCAAATGGAAGGTCTACTTTTAGCTCCTTAAGGTACCTCCGTACTTCTTTCCAAAAAGGGTGTATTAGTTTGCAATATCCACCGACAGTGTATAAATCTTTCATTTTCTCCGCACCAGCATCTGCAGTGTTAGGACTTGTGGTATGGGCTATTCTCACTAAGTGATAGCTCAAGGTAGTTTTGCTTTACGTTTCTGTAATGATTAGGGACAATGAGCATTTTTTCACGTGTATGTTGGCCATTCTTCTGTCTTCTTAAGAGAAAGTTCTCTGTTCATTTCCCTTGCCCAGTGGTTAATTAGATTGTTTGCTCTTTTCGTGTTGATTTGCTTGAGTTCTCTGTAGATTCTGCTTATCAGTCCTTTGTCCGATTCATACCCATTTATCTTCTCTCTTTTGGAAGACTGTTTGCTTTGTTTATTGTGTCCTTAGCTGTGCAGAAGCTTTTAAGCTTGACCAGGTCCCATTTATTTATTTTCAATATTGCTGCAATTGCCAGTGGGGTCTTCTGTATAAAATCTTTCCCCAGACCTATATCATTAATAGTTTTGGCATGGGTTTTAAATGGTAAAGAAGAAGAGGAGGAGAAGATTTCAAGGCATTTTCATGTATTCACATGTTTAAATCTTTTTTATTTTTTATTTTTTTATTTTTTTGAGACAGGAGACTCAAGCTGTCCCCCTGGGTAGAGTGCTGTGGCATCACCGCTCACAGCAACCTCCAACTCCCGGGCTCAAGTGAGTCTCCTGCCTCCGCCTCCCAAGTAGCTGGGACCACAGGCGCCCGCCACAACGCCCTGCTATATTTTTTTGGTTGCAGCTGTCATCGTTGTTTGGCGGACCCAAGCTGGATTCGAACCTGCCACCTTGGGTGTATGTGGCTGGCACCTTAGCCACTTGAGCCACAGGCACTGAGCCACATGTTTAAATTCTTATAACTACCTCTCATTCTTTCCATGACTAGTAACCATTTGAATCACACAGTTTTGATTTCAGAAAGCAAGAACCAAGCTATTTTAAGCAGAATGGCATTTGTTCTTAGAGAAGTGGGTGCTTATAAAATCAGTGGAAGGGCTGTAGGAGCAAGCTCCAGGCAGCATCTCCAGGAACGAATCCCAGAGCCTCACAGGACCACTGACTACCAGCCTAGGAGCTCTGTGCCCCTGTTGGCTCTTGGCTTGAACCTCTAAAGCTAGAACCCAAGGATGGATAGCAAGGTTGGCTCTAGAGTCATGCTGTGCCTGCTAGATTCATGCCAGCAAAAGAAATTCCCATAACCTGCCTCTCCACATCCACAAAGCTAGGGACTGGACATAGGGAACTTAGCAGATGCAAAGGCGTACAAGCAGATCTGCCTGTTTACCCTCAGGGGTGTTGAAGCATATTGTTCTTAGCCTGCCTTCCTCTGCACTATAAAGGCACACTCCCCATGCCCAGGAGAGTGGACCCTAATCCACCACATGTAGCTCTCCATGTCAGTATTTATTTCTCCATATTTTTCTTCTATGCTCATATAGCGATATGTCAATGTACATACATATGCCTTGTTTCTTAAACTTATGAGTTTCCTAAAATGAGACTCCATCATACCCATTTATCTACATGTTGTTTTCTTTTTTTTTTTCCATGTTATTTTCTTTACTCAAAGTACATCACAGAAATACCTTCAAGTCAGTGGTATGACTCATTCTTCCCAATGGCTGCATGGTGTATGTACACCATGACTTATTCAACCATTCCCTATGGCGGGCTTTCACTTTGTAACCAGTGTTTTTCCATGACAGACAATGCTGCTATAGCAGCCTTGAGTAGGCGGCATTCTTTCTTTGAGATCAGCTCCCAGGAGTGAGATTGCTTTGTTTGATGCATTAATAGATACACCTAATCCTTTCAAAGAGGCTGCAATGTTTTCCACCCCTACGCCTGCTAGGAATACGTACAATCCCTTTCTTAAATCTTGGTCCACTTAGTTGGAACAATGTGCTATCTCAGTGTTGTATTATTTTATGTCTCTCTGACGACTAACGAAACTAGCGCTTGCTCTAATAGCACCTTGATGTTCCCTTTGATAAGACTTACATTGGTTTGGTTAGTTTTGTTCTTCAGGGGAACGTCAGCTTCTAGGGGCAGTGACCCTGTCACTTTTGTCCCACACAGCATCCCACTGCCAGCCACAGCTCTGACTTGTACTATGTGCTTACTAATGTCAAATAAGTCAATGAATGAGTGAATGTCACAGAGATCTTTCAGTTTCAGTTTATTAACATTTTGGCTTTAGTTTAATTAGAAAATAATTAGACAAGCCAATGGAAAGTCTTATTACAGTTGTTGAATCAACCTTGGAAACCAGTGTCTTTTAAACTTTAGTATATCCAGAGTCACCTGCAGGGTCTGTAAAAGCAAAGATTATTAGGTTCCATCCCCAGAGCTTTTGATTGAGTAGGTTTGGTTTGGACCTGAGAATTTGCATTGCTAACAAATTCTCTGGTGCTACTGCTGCTGGTAGTGTAGAGATTATACTTCATGAACCACTGTTACAGAAAAACAGGCAAGGAACTTGAATAGACAATTCTTAGAAAAAGCAATGCAAATGGCTCTTAGCCATATGAAAAAATGATCAACTTTGGTTTGGCACCTGTAGCTTGGTGAGTAGGGCATTGGCCACATACACCGAAGGTGTCAGGTTCAAGCCCGGCCCACGTCTGCTAAAACAACAGTGACACCGGCAACCAAAAAATAGTCGGGCATTGTGGTGGGCACCTGATGTCCCAGCTACTTGGGAGAGAATCGCTTCTTAAGCCCAAGAATTTGAAGCTGCTGTGAACTGTGATGCCATGGCACTCTACTGAGCACAATACAGTGAGACTCTATCTCAAAAAAGAAAAAAACAACTTCACTTATAAGAAAAATGTGGAGTAAAACTTCAGTGGACTACAATATCACACGTATTAGACTGGCAAAAACCCAAAAGTTTGATGACATACTCTATTTGTGAGGCTACAAGGAAGCTGGCATTCTCATATACATGTGTCTTTGGTACAAATACAAAATGCTACTCCAAAGGAGTGTTTGTCAGTATTTAACAAATCACATGTCTATTCACTCTTTCATGTAAATGTAGATCCCAAAACATCTTGCCCCACTGAATTCAGAGACTCCTAGTGTTCTATGGAAAAGATTCAAGAGTAGACCTGAATAAACTTCTGTTGATAAAAATATAAAACTTTTAAAAAGAATTTGAATATCAATAAGATTAGTAACTGCAATGGATTAATACTCATCAAAATATATGATACCTGGTTCGGTGCCCATAGCTCAGTGAGTAGGGCGGCAGACACATACACCGAGGCTGGCAGGTTTGAGCCCAGCCCACGCCTGCTAAACAACAATGACAACTCCAACCAAAAAAGAGCTGGGCATTGTACTGGGCACCTGTAGTCCCAGCTAGTCGGGAGACTCAGGGAAGAGAATCGCTTAACCCCAAGAGTTTGAGGTTGCTATGAGCTGTGATGCCACAACACTCAACCAAGGACAACATAGACACTCAACCGAAACAGTGAGACTGTCTCAAAAAAAAAAAAAAGTATATCAATGAAGGCATATTATAAAAAAACAAACCGACCCAAAACTAGTCATTTGAGGAATGCTAGAAAACAACCTCATTATTTTAAAATCTCATAATGAAGAAAAAGTTAAAACGTTTTAGCAACTTCACCTAGTTAGTCTGTACCTCAAGATAACCAAATAGTTGGTGAGGGGTAAGTTTCTCTTTACAAAAGTATTCTAGCTAATAATGAAGAAGTGAAAATACCATCTCTTTTGCAGTTTGTAATCAATTGGGAGATATAACCAGACATTCTGAACTACACCGATGGAGATATACAAAAATTACCTAGGATTAGTCTTAGGGAAAAAATGAATCTGACATAGCCTCTAGATTTAACTAATTTACCAGAAATGCAAAGGAATGCGGAGAAGTCTATTCTATAACACCACGGGGACAGAGCCAGCAAACTCAGACTCTGGGAATAACTAAGGACAGACTAGCTGATCTACTCAACAGTTGCAGCCACAACAAAAATGGTTTAAAAAAAAATAAAACATCTTTAGGAAAAAAAGGAAAGGGAGTGGGAACCTGGCCTGGCTCTCCTTGGGGTCACCTGGTTCGGAGTACAGGTGGGGATCTCTTATGAAAGACTAACGTATCAGCCAGTTGCAGTATGAATTTCGTTTTAGATCCTCATCCAAACAAACACACCAAAAAAAAATTGTATAATTA